AAAGAGAGAGAAACTAGCCCCTTATTTATACTACTCATAAAAATTAAATTGAAATGGATTAGAAACTTAAAACATAAGACCTGAAATTATAAAATGTTTAGAAGAAAAGAGAGAAAAAGCTCCTTGACACTAATGTTGGAAAATATAAAGAATTCATACAACCCAATAATAAAAAACTAAAAAATCCAATTAAAAATGGGCAAAGGCTCTGAACATTTATCCAAAGATATATAAATGATCAACAAGTACATAAAAAGATGGTCAATATCACTAACATCTGAGAAATGCAAATCCAAACCACAATGAGATATCACTTCACACCTGTGAAGAACACTATTATCAAAAAGACAAGTGATATGTGTTCATGAGGATATGAAGAAAAAGAAACCCTCGTACACTGTTGGTAGGAATGTAAACAGGTACAGCCATTATGGAAAACAGTATGGAAGTGCCTCAAAAATTAAAACCAGAATGAGAAAAAATTAAAAATAGAACTACTACACATCCTGTATATTTCTAAAGGAAACAAAATTAGTATCTCAGAGAGAGATTTGCACACCCATGTTCACTGCAGCATTATTCACAATAGCCAAGGTATAGAAACAACACAAGTACAAGGTATACCTCATTTTACTGTGCTTTATGGATAAGGCATTTTTTTACAAATTGAAGGTCTGTGGTAACCTACGTCAAGCAAGTCTAATGGTACCATTTTTTCAACAGCATCTGCTCACTTCATGTCTTTGTGGCACATTTTGGTAATTTTTGCAATATTTCAACTTTTTCATTATTATTATCTTTGGTGTGACTACTATAATTGTTGGGGGTGCCAAAAACTGCACCCATATAAAAGAGAAACTTAATCAATAAACATTATATGTGTTCTGACTGTTCAACCAATTGGTGATTCCCCGTCTCTCTCCCTCTCCTGAAGCGTCCCTGTTTCCTGAGATACAGCAATATTAAAATTAGGCCAATTAAGAATCTTACAATGGCCTCTAAGTGCTCAAGTGAAAGGAAGAGTCACATGTCTCTCATTTTAAATCAAAAGCTAGAAATGATTAACGTTAGTGAGAAAAGAGATCTAAACACTGCAAACAGAACCATACAGGATAGCCTTAAAAAAACTGCCCATGGTCCAGGTAATGGCCACGACAATACCTTCAATTCCTGCCATAGGCAGGCACAAGGAAATGTCAGATAATAAAAGGGAACAAACCCCCGGGACACACAAGTGCCAGGGACCTGGATATACGACCTGGCTAGGGAAAGTGCAAGCATGGTGCAATCCATTAGCCTCACTGCAAGACTACTGACCTCAAATCCATCTCAGTGAGTATGGACCGTACCCAGGATGCAGGGAGAGACAAGAGCAGCGCAAACAAAACAACCCTAGTTATCACAGCAGTCACCCAGAAAGCTGGGGAAACAAGCAGTGACCAGGTCCCCATGTGAGAAGGTTGGAGCAACCCTTGGGGAAAGGGGAGTGAGGCAGGATACAGAGCCTAGACTAGGGCAGTGGGGAGGTGAGGGTCTTACCCAGTGAGGATATAAGTGCATAGTTCTCCAGCATCACACTGAAGTATAGGTATCTCTGAGCCTCATCAAGGAGGCACCATTCCTCCCAGGAGAAGTGCACGGCAATGTCCTCAAAGGTCACACCACCCTGTCATGAATGGAATAGATGAAACTGTAAACATTCTCTCTGAGAACCCACAATCCATCTGCTCACACATGTACCCCACAGTCATCCTCCTCCAGAGCTCCCCCCTCAGAGAAGATACCAGGCCCTGGTGACACAGATGCCCACTCTCTCCTCACTGTCCCTTACTCACTGTATTCAGCGCTCAGCAACGACAGACAGGGGCTAAACTCCGTCTAAGTTATGGCCTGGTCTGCAGGACCCAGTCCCTCCCGTCAAGCAGTTCCCTTAAGGTGTCCCACAATGTGCCTCCAAGATACAGCCACACACGGGCTGCTCTTTACCCTTAAGTCCCGAATACCAGAGCCCTGGGCCCTTGACTCACACTTCCTCTTGGTGTGCATATCATTCAGTTGACCAAACCTTCGTTCTCACATCTTCAGATTCCATAGTTACACTCCTCGGCTCTGCCATCTCCCTGCCCCGCGCCACAGGCATCTCTCAGGACTCACGCAGGTACTTGAATTAAGGCACCCAGAGTGCTTGACAAAAATCAAACGACCTACTACAACCCCAGTTCTCTGTATGACGGGTCCCGTAGCCAGGGAAACCCTTGATTGCTCTTTTGATCAGGACAGTCCGCCTTGCCTCTGTTCTTTGTTTCAATGTTAGCCACCTAGAACCAGTGAGGGACTGGGGCCATCCCCCCGTCTTGTGTAGGATCCCTAAGTGCTTTTTCAACGTTCAGCACCTGTAGGTAGAGGAAGGCAACCATCGCTAGGCTCCCGTGTGCAGGGCTCTCCTGTATCCACACCCAGCCCTGAAACCTAGTGACCTCGGGCTCACTGACCCCTGCGTCTCAGTCCTCAGTGTTGTGATCCTGGACAGGACTCAACTCCTTGTGCCTCTCTGTCCTTGTCATCGCCTTTCCAGTCTGTTCGCTCTTTGAGCAGCTTTTTGAAAACTTAAAGCCCTAACGCAGACTATCTCTCTTCTGTTCACAACCTTCCGCGGCTCCCAGGTCTCTCAGAACGAATGGACAACCTCTCTGACGGCCAGTCAGGCGTGATACCGCCTCACACTGTGTCCCGCAGACCTAAGACTGACCCAGGTTTCCCG